TGCATCAACAACAAATTAAGTTGTAAATAAGAGACAATCATCACTTTTGTTTTTAAGCAGCTTCTGCATGGAGAATTTCAATGTACTGTTTCTTTTTGACAGAAAGAAAGGGATTCTACACTGTGCTTATGTAAGCACAAATACGAGGAAACCAACCGAAATGAAACAATAAGGGAGCACTTGAGAACTGCTCCAAAATGTTCTTGGAAGTGCATTTCTACCACCATAAAAATCTCTATTTTTAATAGGATATGTAAAATGAAAACTGTTTATATTTACTGCCATAATTATTCTTGCTTTGTTCTGAAACTTCCAAGATTTTTTTTTTTGAATTAAAATCCTTCAGCCTCCCCCTTCCTCTTCTAGGCACGAGCAGGGTACATCTCAACAGGAAGAACAAATGAAGGAACCTTTGTGTACCCAGAAATAATTGTTATTAATCCCAGATATCTTAATGCAGTACTTTCTCAGGCTCAAATGCAGCACACACAAGGAAAAAAGTATAAAAGGAGAAAGAGATTTTCTTACCTTTACATCTGAGAAGTAGGTTTTCAGCATATTGGAACTTGGGTACCGGGTATAAAAGAACATGAGCTTGGCCTTTTTCAAGTGATTCGGTGACAAGCCTTCCTGCATGTAGGATTGAATTAGTGAAGGAAAACACTTTTCTTGGAAAAAAAAAAACGCCAGTCTGTAAATGTAGAGACCTGGAAATGTGCCCCCTTAAATACTCCACGGACCCTGAGATTACACGGGAATTACTAACATTTAAGCTGTCGCACTGTGATTTTCTGTAAAATGGCTCAATGAAGTACATGAGGCTAAATGCCGTATTTCACAGCGCCCAAGTTTTGGTGCTGGGTCTCAGGAATTCCGCAAGTTTGGGGCTTGTGCACCATATGTACGTGCACTTGTTGCTAGGGAAACAAATGTACGAAGCATGTGCTGCGGAAAACTTATCGCAGGCTTTTCTCTCCCTCTGCTTTGCGAGTCCAGCTAAAGTTTGTTTTCCCTCGCTGCCCAGACAAAATGCAGCCTATACTAAATAAAGCTAACGCACGTGCAGCTATCGGAGGTGCTTTATCATTTTGAACGGTGCTTCACACTGGCAGGGCGTTTTACCTGCTTCATTAGCGTCAATAAATTTTAACATCTTGAGCTAGTCCCTAATCCTGTTAGGGCTTTGCTTCAATTGCTGCCTTCCCACTGAAAGCAAAATTTCTGAGAGGCAGAGGGAGCCCCCCCTGCCCCCGGATCCTCCCTTGCTCTGATTTACACAGTTAACTCCTCCGAGAAGGCGGCTGTATTTGGGGCGAAGCGATCGATGACTGTGGGCTAGCAGATCAATAAATGGCCACTTACCCTATAAGGCAGCCTATTTATCCTGGAAACATCATTACCTTTTAGATCTGTAAACAGAAGCAAYGAAAACAGTTCCCAAGGGAATGTGAAGCTAACCATAACAATCCCGGCTTTTTGGTTTTCTCCCAGCTTCTTGGCTCTCTTTTGTGTGCTGTGCGCTAGGACAGCCCTGGTCACATCTGTGCCGCAGGCTGGCCCTGCCATTTCCTCAGCAAATTAATGGCTTTATAATTTATCAGAAATGAAGATGCACGTGGAGAAAATCAATGCGCCCTTTCCCTCCCGCCTGCCCCTTCCCGACCCCCCCCAAGGTCAATTAAGGGTTCTTCCCAGAAGCTCCTCTACGGACTGTTTCTCCTAAACACAATTGTTGGAAATTTCACCCGTTTCACACCTTATGGCCGGGCTGGGGAGGGGGGGAAGGTCACACAAGTTCGCCGCTCCGGCGCTGCCAAGGTGCCTCCACCTTTCGGCTGGGAACACGTCAGCACGGAGCATCCCAGTCCGGAGCTCCACATGGGAAATGCAGGCACCTACAGACCAGCGGGCTGCTGGTTATTAGCCAGCTCTTTCATGAGAATACCCTCTTCTCTAATTAGTGAAAGCTACCAAAACCTTCTCGTTTATTCTGTGGCAAAATAAGAAGATTCATTTTTTAGACTGAAAAAAAAAATGTGGCATTAGAAAGAAAAAAAAAAAAAAAAGCCCTCAATAATATTAGCTGAAAAACCTCTTATTTTCTGGAAGTACGCAGAAAACGGCTCAGCTGAACTTGCATTTTGTTTTAGATGCTTAATGATTACAAAGAAGATAATTTATGACTGACATACTTCTTGTGCCAAGAGAAGAGTTGAAAGAACCTCCAGTTACCTCCATTAGACTGATAGAGAAGTCTAAAAGAGCATTACACTCTGCAGTGCCATCTGTCAAAATACGTAAGTGAAATAATAGTAGCAAGCTGTCACCTATTGCTTAGTGATAAGAGTTTTAGACAAACCAAAACTTCTGCACCAGAAATCCTTTTTGCTATGAGATTTGTCGCAGGGAAGTGAGGGGCTGGAGGGGAACCTCAATAAGGGAAAAAGAAAAAAAAAAAGGAAACCTAAGTCTCCTTTATTTGTAACTCCTCTGATGCTGACAACATATTAGAATCATGTTTGGCATAGAATCTCTTTCAATGGAAGCTAAAAGATGTACTTAAACTTTTTTAAAAAGCTATCATATTTGCTGGATTTAAGCGTATTAGACAATTGTCTCAGTATTTTGTTTCCTTTTTCCTGATTTAATTTGCATTTAGGATTTTTAAATATTTTCTGCCATAATGCCAGAGGATATTGATATTGAATGAAACATGTATTAAAAGATGTTCTAAGCCTCAAATTCCAAGAAATCCATTTTTTATTAAAATTATACTTGTTCTTAAGCACTTGGCAGCCTTAAAGCGACATCAATAATGCAACAAATCTTTCCATCTTGATCCTAAGGTTAACGCTTTACTGTGATAAAAGATATGCTCTGCAATAAACTATCAAAAAACAGTTAATGATAGACCAAAGGGCTAAGAATGAGATAACCCATTGCTATTTCAGAAAAAAAAAAAAAAAAAAAAAACAGAACTGACCAATTGCTTAATTTCCTTTTTAAGTGCTTGGGTTGAAAAGCAACTGTTCTTCCAAGAAAGCACTAGCTGTTTCCAGGATACTTACACACGCACAATGACTCATGATGAAATAGATTCAGTAAACATACAGCTGTACTGAACACGAGCTAAGCCCCATTCAAGGCCAGGAAAGAAAACGAGCACAAATAAATATTAAGGAGGTAAAGGGAGGAGGGGTGCCGAATGGAACGCAAACAAGCTCTGTCCCAGCAGCTCATGTGGCTCGCCTCAATTCTCTTAGCTATAGCTTTGTGAAGACAGATGACATTCAATTCTATGGGTAATGCAAAATAGACAATAACTGCTGAAACTTGAGACAGCTGCCAGGTGTAAAAAAAAAAAAAAAAAAAAAAAAA